CTAGAAAAGAAAATTTAAATGCTTACAATATATTGATTGCAACTATCAGTTATCAGTGAGTTTATATTATAGTAAGTTTATATTACAGGTAGTCCTGTTTAGCAACCACAGCTGGGACCAGCAACTCGATCATTAAGTGATGTGGTCACTAAGTGGAAAATCACGTGACCGCAACTGTGCTTACAATTTTACTTCAGCTTTCCTTTTCCCCACTCCTCTACTCTTTGGAATTCTCACCCCGGCACTGGGATAATGAGCAAGAAGGGAGTTAATGTTTGTATTTACATTCATTGGAGAAGAAGGGATTACAAGAGAATAAGCAGGCGCACAATGGGGAATACACATTGAAAGGAATGCGCTAGTGCCGGCTGTTTGCTGAGAGCACTCTCGGCTCCAAGCCACTTAGGAGGCAAACAAAAAACAAAAGTGTGAAAGTGATTAAAGTCTTGTCAGTTACAGGTAGCAGCTGCCAGCTGGCTAGTTATAGTCACAGAGCTGAGCTTGTTAACTTGGAGTTGCACCATTTGGGGAAGGATTGAACTGCTGGGAAAAGCAGCTCAGGAAGAGATCGCTTGTTTAGGCAATTTTTCCATTCTGTGAGGGGCAGGGGTGGGAAGGAAAAAAACAGGCACAGGACAGTGCATACTAACCAATGTAATGGCAAAGACATGACTGAAAGAGAGAGGCTGTGAAGGTCATAAAGGCCTTGGTCGCAAAGTTACCTTTTCATCACCATCATAACTTTGAAAGCTCACTGCCCGAGGCAGTCATTAAGTGAGGTCTACCTGTATAATCTGTAAGCAGGTATATGTAGAGCCAGTTTAGTGTAACGGTTAAGGCACCAGGCTAGAAACCAGGAGACTATGACTTCTAGGCCCACCTTAGGCACAAAGCCAGCTGGGTGACCTTGGGCCAGTCACTCTCTCTTAGCCCTAGGAAGGAGGCAATGGCAAACCCCTTCTGAAAAATGCTGTTGGAAAAATGGCAGAGGGCAGTTGCCATGAGTCAAAAGTGACTTCAAGGCACAACCTATAAGTGTGTATGTGACATACTGTTATACTTTCTAGTTTCTGTACTTTCACTAATAAATATATAAATATCTTAACATGTTGCTACTACACGTATCTGCAGTTTACTTGTATACTTGTAGAGTGGTGCACAAATTTATACTTCGTTTGGGAAATGCTGCACAAAACCTTCTTTTCCCCCTCCACACAGCATGTCAGAAATTAGAGGCAACATTGCTCTGAGGCTAAATCTCTTTCTCTGACTTTGGAGGAGAAATCCAAAAAAGTCTATATTCTATGGTTATATGGTATCCATGCCATACGACTGCAGCCTTAACCTCTGAGAATGTTCATATTTGAATCTATAATATGCATAGTTTTGTAAGTTCATACTGAAATGAGAAAGTTATTTTATAGATCAGCATTTCCAGAAAATACTCCCCCAAATATCAGTTTAAACTTGCACTTGCCTCTCTAACGATCGTTATGTGCATAAAGCCATAAATCAGCTTTTTCCAACGTGGTGCCCTACATAGGTGAAGGACTGCATATTTCAGAAGTCCCAGGAGATAAGGCTAACTAGGAATTCCTTGATTAACAGTTTCACATTTTGGCAGGAAATCCATTTGAAAAAAATTTCCACAAGGAGCATGGCATACATAACAGAGAAATCCAGGTTCTCTCCTTACTGCAGAGACTACAAAAGATTCCAGCAACTGCTATGGCAGTTTCCTTCTCTGCCTCTCCAGCAGCCCACTTTGAATGGGCTTTGAATATCAGTATTAACCACCCAAAGTAGACATCTAGCCTGGTGATCAATCTGTGGATTTGCTGCTCTTTGCTGCCTTAGCTATCCTATGTTCTACACACTGATGTTCAGATGATCTTCCTGCTGACTCAGAAGGATATATAAAGAAAATTATTATTAAAAGCAAAGTTTGAAATCCACTAACTTGGGGCAGTTAATAATAAAGTCCAGATGTAAAATATTAACTTTTAGGTGGAAAACTTCCAATTTTCCTAAGGAAGGATTTGGTGCTTCTTCAATAATCCTTAAACAGGATCTAAGGCTCACTAAGATCTAAAATCCATATTTCTATTTTGGCTATGTCCTCCCCGAAGCGTCTGTTACCAGCTGCAGTGATGTGGGCTGTGTCATGGCATCATCACACAGATGATTAAAATTACATAGTTGTGACAAGTGTGATGACATTGGCCCCCTTGCTGTGGCCCCTCTACTAAAAAGTGGCCACAACAGGGCCAGTCCCCTTCCCCTTTTACTACATTGTAGCGTCTTGAGATTACTAGAGAAAAATTCTAATAAGCCTTTATGGAACACAATGATCAAAAGTATATCCTTTTACAATAAAAATGTTAAGTCAGAGGGTATGAAAAATAAGCATGACATACTCAACAGAAAATGCTCCAGTGTGAAATACAAAATACAGATCGATTATGTTGGTGATATTCTAAAGAAGAATGTTCATAAGCACATGCAGAAAAATTAGCTACAGTTTTCCACCCTGTCAGAATTATATAATTTCTGTTTCTAACCTTAATATTGCAGGCACAGATTTTTTTTTTTAAAGAAAGTTACTAAATACAGCACCAAGGAAGTTCATGCAGGTAGCCGCAATGCCAAAATTGCAGCAGGAGTTCCTTTGGGGGAAAAAAACATCGTGTGTGAAACCTGAGTTATATTTTTTTTTAAGGTGACAACTGTAAAATCTCAGGTCACTTTACAGCATTCCACTTCAGTCCATATCCAACCAGAACAGAACAGTACAGTATAATAACAGCATATGCAAACACACACTGGTCTTGCAAAACACCAAAGTGGAGAAAAATTGGAATTGTTGCAGAGAGCGAGGTATATAGTGTTGTGTCTTGTGCCTTTTTGTCTTGTGAGTCAAGCACAAACTTGAAGATGATGGTCAGCTTAGACTTTGATGTCCACCAGATTGTATGGCCAATGGTAAAGGACTGTGTGAGTTGTATTCTGAAGGCATCAGATTGCTTATTCCCTTCAGCATACATCTTGATTTACACACCACAGTAAAAAGGTGCACACCTTCCTCTCAGCCATTGTGGTTTGTCAATTAACATTTATGTTGAGAGAAGGCATCTGAGAATCTTCAAATGTCTTGGAATGCAGCTCCAACCATTTTTGGTCATACAATCTGGGGCTGATGGAAACTGAAATCTAAAACATTGAAAGGGTACCAGGTTTAAGTTTCACATTGTGTATAGACTAAGATGGTAATACTTCACCCATAAAATCATGGCCAAAACATAGCTTACCGCAAACCAAGTTACAAAGACACTCACATCCCTAGGTGGAAGCTTCTTCCCAATGAAATAATTCAAATACAGTTAGGCACAATCAGTTTAAAGTTTGCATCTCACTTGGACATCTAAAAATCAACCAAAAACTTTGAGAAAAAGAATGAAGTCTCCCTAGTTACCGATCTTGAAAGTCCAGGCACAGATCTAGAAACTCAAAGGAACTAACATCACAGGCAGCTATCTTGACTAGGGCTAGCCTGTAGCTTGACTAGGGCTAGCCCATCTGTGCTGGAAAATCTATACAACCGATAGATGGCAGCAAAGAGATACAGAAAACAATAAGTCTTTGCTGCCCTCTAGTGGTTGTCTGTAGGCTTGTAACTCAGATATGGTAGCCCGTGCTTTGATGCAGTGTTTCTCAAACTTGGCAACTTTAAGACATGTGGACTTTAACTCCCAGAATTCCCCAGCCAGCATAGTGAAACAAAAAACAATCCCCAACCAAACAAAACAAGGATCAAGTTATTTTCATGGAGCAGGGCAAGACTTGGGGAATACAAAGATACTCATCCCCATCCAAAGGGGGGAAGCACCAGAATGCACAAATGCAACATCAAGGATCCTGGGCAGGAATTGAAAAAGGTAAAAAGAGATGTGGAAAAACAATGAAGGAATTTTGGATGCTGGGAAAATATTGCAGAAAGGCATAAAAAATAGGCAACCAACTTATTCATTTCTAGTCAGGAGGAATATAACTACTTTTTTTCTTATAAGTCAACAATACCCTAAAAGAATATTTGTAATCAATTGCTATGGTTCATAAACTGAGCATGGGCAGTCTGTTTCACAAATCAGTTCAAATTCAATAATTTCATAATAGAATTTCAAAATCCTTTTGAAATTAAGACAAAAATATGTACATGGCTATTTCCACAGAACATAAATACCATGTGTAACTAACTCATGCAGAACAAGGCCACATATAGCATATTAAATGACTTAGTTATCGATAATTTATATATTGATTAAAATGTAATTGAGAGGCGGCAGTAGGTAAGAGAGGCGAGAGTTTATGCTACCTAAAATGGCTTTTTAAAAAAGCTACCCAAAAGGGTAAAAGCAGTACTGGCTGGAGGATTATGACTGAAATATATGGAGGGCATCTTGTTGAAGAAGGATGCAATATATGTATAAACCTAAACAAAGGTTTAAGTGGTCCACAGAGACAAGTGTTTTGCAGCTCTAGGCCATTACAAATGTGATTTTACACCCTTCATTTGCAAGAGACTGACTACAATGGCCATTTTGCACACCACCGTCTGAATAACAAAGAGATCCCAAGGGCTATAGCCTGTACCAAATCCTGTTTTAATTTGAAACCATCCTATTATTCTAGCAAAAAACAAGATTTCCAGCAGTCATCTACAGATCCTTTCTATTGCTCCCAGACACAACCAGGCTGCCCTTTACTCAGTGTACAAGTTCAGAGTTTGATTAGCTCTCATTAAAAAAATGCCCCATAAATACCATGTGTCCCTTCAGAGGTTGAATAACAGATCCCAGCAAAATCACCAGCTACGAATACCAAGTATTACAGTTCAATGACACCTGAAAAGCCACGTTTCTGAACCTTGTCATAAAGATCACATATAAATAATGCAACTATTCCTCATTTACTCAGCTAGCATTTGATGTACAGTATCTCACCAATCCTCCAATCCTTCTTGGAAGCTTTGCAAACACAGCATATTAATGGTCTGTTCAGAAATGATGAGATTTTCAGCTCCCCTTTGGCTTGGTTTTCTTCTGACTGCCCTTATGCCATAATCCAGTTTGTAAACCCAACTCCCGTTGTTAATTTCTGCGTTTGAACTCTAGTAAAACCACATGATGTTCTCTATGGAGAGGGCAGAGGTGTGAGATTACATTCTGGCAATCAATGTAACATTGCCTCTGGAAATTCCTGTAACCTTTGGGGTGGAGGAGGCAACCCAAGTCATGTGAGATCTGCTTTAGATTTAGATTCTGACTAGTCGAGTGTTCCAGGGCTATGTAATGTAACCTCTCTATAAGCTTCTACATGTGTCAGAAATACAGAGGGTTTCATACGTTCATCCTGCCACAAGCAGGCTTTCTCAGAAATCAGAGCTCCCAAGGAAATACCTCTGAAATATAAATGTAAGCTGTTGATTCTTCTCTAATGGTCACTGGTGGCAATAAAGCAAGGCCAGATAACCTTTGTCTCTTCAGGATTCAGGGCAGAACAGGATGTTTCGCTCCCTGAGGGAAAGAACAAATTAATCTATTTCCATTCCAGATATAGACATGACTCAACTGCTAACTGACTCTTAGAGGCTGGCAGTCTCCACTATAGGTGTGGACAGCATGCCAGTTTATAGGATAAGGACAAGCCATGTAGTACATTCAGTTCTGTCTTCCAAAGTAGGAGTTCAGTAGGAACAGTTAGAGCAATACTGGTGCTGCCTTTTAGCATCTGCTGTTGAGCAGATGCCTCACTATGTCTAATGGTAGGACAGGTCTGGCATGGATACCAACCTCCATCTATTCCACCAACTATATATTGGGAGGTATTGGGTGTTGGGCTCTAACAAACGTTTGGAAAGCCACAAGTTCCACACCTTGTTATAACCTCAGGATATTCAACTGAACTTAGCATTCACAGCAAATATAAAGTCTTTTTTTTTCTTTCCAGAAATCTATCCATATACTGCAGCAGGCTTTTTAATTAAAGTAGCGATTTCAAATGTTACAGTTAAATATCTGAAAACCCTTTGTGAGCATCAGGATGGAGAAGGTTAATGATGTACTGGATGCCAAAGAAGTACTCACTTTTCAGAACTTGCAAAAATCTGTTTTTCTGATTATAAGTGAATACAGGGGCAATTGGGAGCAACAGCCCTGCAAAATGAAATATATTGTTGTTCTTCTGCAGCCTAGTGTTAACTGAATGGTAGCCATAAATATAATCACTGCTTTTTTTTTTTAATTTAGAAATTTTACAATGTGACTGTGAGGCAGGAGACACATATATGGCCCCTGAACTTTCTTTTTGCAATCCCAGAGCTCTAGATCACTACCAGAATTCACCGGCAAAACATTAAGTGATGTAATTTTTCAGAGTATTTCTAAAAAGAAAAGCAACAAAAAGTGCATTTAGCTTCCACTTGATTTAACATACTTATTTTCACCCTTATTTTCAATGCTTAAAAGAAAAAAAAAACAAGTGTGTTGTTGTTGTTGTTTAAGTATAGCTTTTGGCCATCAACAGTTCTCTTTTTTTGTTAGGAAGATGATGGAGTAGTTCAAGGTAAACAGAATTACAATCCTCAAAGCAACCAGTTTCAGTGACCATTAGTCTGGGCCACGGTGGGACAATCAGACACTTTGCAACATCTGATATGCAAAGCTCTGTCAGAAGGTAGTGCAATTGGGGAAGTTCTAACTGGAAACAGGGCTCTTCCCCGTCAACTTCAACTCAGAGTTCTGAGTGGGGAGGCTAGATGAAGCGGGAAGAAGAAGGATACAGCTGGAAAGATGGACTTGCATATTGCAAGATGTGCCTTTAAAGAAAAAAAAAAGAGCTAAATTGTTTAGGTCATGCAGTGACAAATTACTGATTCTCAAAACCAAAAAACAAAAAGTAGAACCCTGAAGATTGTGCAGGACTAGGAATACCATGGTTGCCAAGAAGTTAGAATATCCCATGGAACTGCAGAATATCAGAAGCAGCAAGTTTTGGATTTGACCAATATTGCTACACAGTTACACAGTCCACCCCACTGCTGATAGGAGATCTCAAAAGAACAGTGACAGAGTTCAATGGACACAGGACCTTCACAGAGAAGTTAGACAGCCAGTACAGCTACCTTTGCTGGCCTAGCTAGATTGCAAAGGAGCCATCAGGCCCAGGAAGTCTCAACTTTAATTTCAGGATACTTGCCCTGACACTTAGGTCATTTCCCCTCTAGCAACTTATGGCATCTTCTAGAGTTATCCAATGATTGTTGTGCCAAAATAAAAATAATGAGGATAGGTTTTATGTTACTTCAACAATGGCTGGGTGATGCTATAAAGACCATGTGAGTCTCTGGTAGGAAATGGCTATTGCCATGTTCATCAGGCAACCAGTTCCTTTCCCTAAAGCAGTGTTTCTCAACCTTGGCAATTTTAGGATATGTGGACTTCAACTCCCAGAATTCCCCAGCCAGCATGGCTGATTGGGGAATTCTGGGAGTTGAAGTCCATATATCTTAAAGTTGCTAAGGTTAAGAAACACTGCCCTAAAGCCTGAGTAAATTTAACAAACATGTGATAGAGAAGAAGCTAAGATTTGGATCAATATCTAGTTAATAGAAAGCAGAGAATAGGAATAAGTGTTCAGTTCTCACAGCAGACAGATGCCAAAAGAAGTGTCCCCTTGGGGGATCTGTATTGATGCTTTTGTTAGACATGAACAATAACAATTTGAAATCAGGAGTGAGCAATATCAAGTTATCCCAAAGCTCCCCCCAAATTGTATCTGCAAACTGCATGAATTGGCATTAAATGTCAAATACAGTTCAGTCTAAGAAAGTATCAAGTAATAGACACTGAGGTGGAGAGAGTGTCTAACTTCTCATATATGCAGATGGTATTCTGGAGTAATGATGAAAATACTGACTTGCTTTTCTTTACCAGTATGGCTCTATTGAAAAAAAGAACTTCCATGCTGTGGATCATTTGAAAAGGCATCAAGAATAAAATTAGTAACATAAATTCTTTATAGAAATCTAAAGGCCTTCCATGTGGGTGGCAGGGGGGGACAAAATTAACTCTACCTTGATTACATGAGATTGAGAGTTGGGGCTTCTAACTGCAAGCAATTTCAACATAATCCTGCATCACTAGTGCCGCATCCAGGGAAATGCCATTTCAAGATTGGAAATGCCACTTCAGACCTAGTGCTTGAACGCTACTTGAAGCCATGGCTGGACTGGCAATGGAATTCCCCAGACTAATGGTACTGGGGGAACTTTAATCCGCCTTCCCTTGCTGTAGATTCTGAAGCAGCTTGGGAGTTCATGATCACCATGACCACCATGGACTTGACAGCAGTGATCACACATTAGACTTGTTTTTTCTCTTGAAACAGTGGCGACATGACCTGGAGCTGGGGGAATACAGGTCGTCCTCATTTAGCAACTGCCTCGGACAGCAACCGTTCACAGTTACGATGGTGATGAAAAAGTAACTTTACGAGCAAAAGTAACTTTGTGACCAATGCCTGCATTTATGACCTTCACAGCATCTCCCTCTCAGTCATGTGTTCGCCATTGTCCTGCACATTGTCATTGTGCACATCCTGTACCTGACCCGTTGTTTTTTCTTTTCCCCCCTCCTTGGAGAGTGGAGAGAAGAGCAGCACCTTCCATAAAAAGTGCTAAGCACAAGTTAACAAGCTTTGCTCTGTGACCTTGATTAGTTGATGAGAACCCTCCAGCCACCTCACCCTAGTGCCTGACACTGACAAGACCCTAAATCAACAATGACTGACAGCTGGCAGCCGCAAGCATGCTAGGCAAACAGCCGGTGCTAGCGCATTTCTTTTGATTTGTATTCCCCATTGTGTGCCTACTTACTCTCTTGTAATCCCTTCCTCTCCAATGAATGTAAATACAAATATTAATTCCCTTCTTGCTAATTATCCTAGCGCCAGGGTGAGCATTCCCAAGGGTGGGGGTGTGGGGAAAAAGGTCTATAAGATTTGCCCTTTTACCTGGGTTCCTCATGAGTTGAATTTTGGAAATCTTCCCTGCCATTTGGGCTCACCTGAGTGTTTGGGGTCGTATCCTTCTGACACTGTAAAGCAAAGGAAAGCTGAAGTAAAATTGTAACCACAGTTGTGGTCACGTGAATTTCACTTAGAGACTGCTTCACTTAATGACTGAGACACTGGAACCAATTGCAGTCACTAAACAAGGACTACCTGTATTACTATCAGTTCCTTGCCATGGTTAGATCATTCACTTTAGCCCTAGAGTTCTTTGCAGTCACTCCTCACCACAGGGAGGAAGGCCCTATTCAACTGGTCTGCCTGTGTGTCTGATGGACACTATGGAGTTTCAGAAGATTATTCCAGAGAGCCTAATACATGGTTCATCTGAGGGCCTGATTGCCACTTGGAGTGAGAGGGTGGCCATAGCCTTGGATTGGATTACACTTTTGCAGGCTCTGTCTGTCCATAGTTCCTGGAGAGCTCCCTGTTTTTCTGGAGATGAAGTGACAGAAGAGATGCCTAGAGAAGTGCTGGAGGAAAATGAAGAGTGAACTTGACCAAGCATAGGTCAAACCTTTCCTATGGATTATCATGTGTCAATAAGGGCAGCAAAACATAGCTATTTCTCTGCTTATATTGAGCCCTCAGATAGTCATTGAGCAATGTTGTCTAAGGTAACCCCATCTCTCATGGGGAGGGATGGGCAAGAGGAACATCTACAAGGGCACTTGAAGACTCCTTTAGGCACCTATCAGGCAAAACCACTCAGACTCATTCTGGTTGTGCAGGTCTCTTGGAAGTGACTAGAGCACAGTATAGCACATTTATATGGGAAGAGTTTGAACTCGTTGGTCCTGAGGAAGTGGGCAGGGTTCTCAGTGCTGTGAGTGCAACCTCCTGTATATTAGATCCATGCCCCTCCTGGTTGGCTAAGGCCTGCTGGGAAAGAACATGTGGCTGGATTCAGGCAATGCAAATGCATCTTTGGGGGAGAAAAGGGTCCTTCTAGCTCT